CCCCCCCCCCCCCCAAAAAAAAAAAAAACCAACACCAACAAGGACGCTACCTGGCATTGCACCTCAATGCCATTGCAATTAACAATCTCGCAAGCAGCCACAACATCCTGTTTTTCACAACATAATCAATTAGAGCCCAAAACTTTTGCTATACATATAGTTCTAAAGTTCAAAATTCTGCTATAGTATTGAAAATTTTCCTCACTAACCGTGAATACAACACCCATCTTCGTGCATTTGTCAACAGTTATGTTGTTAACTTTTCCTGCAAATTGATAAGGTAACAATAAAATCTTCATGACTTAATGGAAATTCTACTCAAAAAGAACCTAATCATTCATGATTTGTTGGAAGCCTAACTTTTAGATCTGGGGAGCAAGAACATTCTCTTAAGATAACAAAATCTTACCTTGGATCTGTAGAACAGAATCTTTGCATCCAAAAATATAAACTGTTTGCTTTGCATCACAGTCATCAATGACTAAATTCTTTCTTCCAATTTGATTCTCAACTACCCACCTGCCCAAGGTACAGCACAGTCATAATGGACAATTTAAAACCACATGAACCTTTTCCATAGGCCAAGAAGCACCATAACCAAGAATGTGAACTCACTTCCGACCCATTTGAAGCTCTAACTTTGCAGGACCTGCTTTAGAGAATGAGGAGGAACTAACATGACCTTTTTCACTAGCAGTAACAACGCTAGTTCTATCAGAAAGGTTCTTTGTTTTCATATCAGCTGTGACTTTCCTCAAACCTGAGAGGAAGAAACCAAATAAGCAATGCCCAATAACCCAGGAGGAAGAAAACCAAATAAAAAAAACACCCCAACCCACAAGACGAGAAAGAATGAGGAAAAGGAAGAAAGAAAACTACCAGCTGTCACCGACTTTCCTGAACCAATTTCTTGAAAAACAGCAGCCATTCCTTCCTTTGGGTGTGAAGCTGACGGCTGAGGAGATTCAGAACTGAAGAGTGAAGCTGGCGGAGGAGGTGGAGGAGCAGGAGCAATTGAGGTAGGAGTTTTTAAGGGAGCAGATACAGTTGTTTTTCCTGTGGCACTCCATACAGGACCCAAAGGATAGTGAGTTTTCACATAATCCCTTAAACCTGGTACATAAAGCTCCTTCAAAGCTTTAGCCCACTCCACATGATTTGGGTCTTTATTTCTGTACTCTACAAGAACCTAAACATCATTGAAACCTAATCAGAACTGACCATCTAAAATCACTTTACAGGACGATTCCATTGCCCGCTGGAAGCATATATGTATCATGGTACACTTCTCTTTGTAGAAGGTAGCACTATATATATACATATATCACCTACAACTACTTCGCACACTTACAAGTCATGATTTGGAAAACATGCAAAAAGTTAAAAGTAAAATTACCAGACNCAAAAAAAAAAACGAAAACAGCATTGGAAATATGGATAAATAAGAGGGATTTTAACTTACTTGCCAAGTAAAAAGATTGAAGTGCAAAGCAGAGAAGAAAGAGAATTGAAGAACAATGCAAAAACATCGTTCGCCGTCGTCGAAGCGTTCTTCTGTATCACTCCTACTGAAAATTTCTCTAGAAAAAGATGAGAGAGAGAGAGATGGCAATAACGTTCAAAATCACTGATCTTGGCGGTCTTGTGGACAAAGTTCTGTTTTTCTTTCTTTTGCTTTCAAGAGAAAGAGAGAGAGTGAGAAGCGGTGGGTATGCATACGGCTGTGACTCGGGGGGGCTTAAGAGAGAGAAAGAGGAAGACTAAGAAAGGAAATTACTTCTTGCCGAAGAATTTTGATGGTTCGAGCCGTCTTAAAATGGTCATACCTTAATGCACGTTAGGTATATGGGATTTATTAATTAATTAATTAAAGTATATGCCAAAAGACAATAATAAATGTTTTCTTTTTTTATGTTTTCCTTTTTAACTTTTAAGTCCACAATAAAAATTAGATGCTGCAACTCGAGTTGTTTTGAATTCCAACTCTCAAGTTAATAAGACATTAAAAAAAAGATTAATTATAATTTCTCTCATTTAATTATGTTTTTTTTGTTGTAATCGGTTCTCTATAATTTTAAATAATATAATTTATCCCCTATAAGTTTTAAATAAACTAAATTGACTAACAAGTTAGAACATAAAAATATCATTACACCCTCTATCTTGTATATTATTATTTATATTTTTTTCTTGAAATTTAAATTATATCCCTAAAAAAGTAAGGAAAAGGAAAAAAAATACATATATTTAACTTAATACACTGCACAACACCATGTTCGTCTTCATCATCGCCTCCACCTCCACCAAACACTAACACAAGGGTGTGTACACCCATATACTCTTTTTAGGAGTAATTGCACATTTTCAATATAGTAAAGATCACATAAATTTCTTAAGTTTAACTTGTATTACTTTTAATGGTCTAAAATTAACTATTATAATTAATTATAAAATATTCAAATTTAAATATACCTATTTGTTGAAACTAAAACTTAAAAAGGCGAATAACAAACGACCTTAAGAGAGTATTTTTGCAATTAAAAAGGAAATAGAACTAGAACTCTTCCAAGGAAAAACCTGGACTCATTATTGACCATGCTTCAATCTGAGATAGCCTTTTGAGTGATTTAATATTCAGAATAAAAATCATTTAGAATCCATGGAGTGTTTGGATGATAGATTTTAAAAATAATATCCCGAGACTATAATTTCAAATCATACCTTACTCCACCTAACACCCAACACGCATGATTTTATAACTTATTAAAAAAAAGAACACATCTATAATTTATAATATAAAACAAGACATGTTTCAATAAGTCTATCCGACAGTCTCAAATAAACTCATCCAATAGCCACCAATATTCCTCTCAAAAGCATTTACATTGCATCGTGACTTCAAGAATGAGTTACCCCTAATGATTTTATAAATAATTACACACATTATGAATTTATGTAGCAATTACAAATCCAAAAACCTCATAATTAAGACCGTAAGTGAATCAAAAAATCGATTTCATTGCATACTGCATACCTTTTTTCTCCTTTCTCAAGAAAAAAAGATCAACATTTTCCACTCAATGTCGCTGAATTATAGAGGACCGGACGTTAAAACTCCTTTGGATGACTTCACCTACCAGCCTTCCACCTACACCAACCCCATGTGGAAACCAGGAAGACAAGTAGTAGGATCGCACTGCTTCTTGGCTAAACATCTCTGTCTGTTTAACATTATTCTATAAAACAATATATATAAAAACAAAGAACCATTCAAACTACACGTCTTATTAAAATCCTTGCGAAAATGTAACACGCAGAATCACATAAAAAACCACCTTCATCGACTAATTTAATCCACCGATGACTTTGGGTTGACAATAAGTTCCATTCAATATTGAGGTCATTGTGGATAGCATTTGATAAACTAGGCTATTAAGTGAACAACTTACGTTCAAATAATATTGTCTGTATACAACAGAATACAGAAAAGAATGAATAAGGCACAACCAATAGGTTAACCACCTCTACATAAAACATGCAGAATGGTACTACAAAAACAGTTCGTTGAACAATATATAGAACAAAAAAGTAAACCAAACCTCAACCTTTCAACGAATCAAATTAACATTTTAAAAAACAGAAGGGTACGTAAAAAAAAGAAACCCACATCAGCAATTGAATTAGAAAAATTTCACCAGTCACCCTCCTGAGTGCGAGACTGGAGTCGTGACAAACTGACCATCCTTATATATATGAACAAACTGCTGAGGCAAAGAATGCTCCCCCTGCAACAAACACACATAGTAAGCCTCAGTAAGTAGCTTACATGATTTTTTTTCCCCTGAAGTAGCAAAACACCATAAAAATAATCATTTAAAACCTGTATGCATATTTATGTAATCATTCTATTTTATATTCTTTCATCAATATCCATTCATTGAGGCTTGACCCAACTCATTGGTCGGAGGTTCATCAATGTTCACTCGGTGAAAAAGAAAAATCAAAATGAAAAATAAATAAAAGAAAGGTCATGGAGTTTAGCCATCACTTGTTAAAATTACCAATTTCCTACTTGGTGCTAAAATGAGGCATGCTTACTAATTTACAAGTTAGTAGAACTAGTGATTGGCCTGTAATAAAACATTCATATCCATGACCCNGTTTAGCCATCACTTGTTAAAATTACCAATTTCCTACTTGGTGCTAAAATGAGGCATTCTTACTAATTTACAAGTTAGTAGAACTAGTGATTGGCCTGTAATAAAACATTCATATCCATGACCTATAAATGGCAAAAAAAAATTACTCATGAAACAAGTGAAAAGATAAATTGTATCTACCACTAATAATGTCGAAGGTCACTTGAACAATAATGATCCTGTTCAGAAATCTATAGTCAGATACCTTTCCTACTTTCTCTCCAACTTTGCACTTTAAAATTAGTCTACAAAAAAAAAATTGTAAGAACATGAGTGCTTTGTGACTACTGATGCAAGTACACGTGAGAGGAACTTAAAGAGTTGACTTCATTTAATACGACTTCGAACTCCAATTAACACAGTCAATGAGTCTTAAATTTATATCATCTACTTAGCCAGCACATATTTTTCATGTTTTTTTAAAGAATTAAATTATGCTACTTGATATTGCATCATCAAATCCTTCATCATTGTGGGGTCATTGGGTTTTAGTTTACGAGAGCGTTTAACAGTAAGTGGAAAACCAAGTAAAAAGTGGACAATACCCAGTCACCATCAGGCTCAACACCTGGTACCAGTACGTTGATTTCGCTTGACTTAGCTGTTGTTATGGAAGCCTCCAAAGAATTTTTGCTTAAATATAATTGGCACCCTGCAGTGTTGTCTACTGAAATGGTAGGAGCTGAACCCTGTAATAGCCATAATAATTATAAGTTACAGAACTTTTTTTTTAAATCAGAATAAGTTACCTTACTTACACAACCAAACTAAACTCCATTCTCCAGAGCCTTAGCATATCTTATAAGTGAAGACATGCATAATATTTAAAAGGATGGAAAACATCATTACCAAAATTCAACCAACGCAGATTGGAAACTATAGACCAACATCCTTCCCCCTCCACCCCCCCCCCCAAAAAAAAAAAAAA